CGTTTCCCGTCTCCGGGGGCGGAAGGAGTGGACGCACTTCACAGTCCTTGGTCTGGGGGTCTACTGTACACCTTTCCCCCTTTTTCTCTAATGCTGGCGGTCATATGCAAAATATTGCAGGAAAGGGCAGAGGTCATCCTCATTGCTCCATACTGGCCGGGGGATCCGTGGTTTGCCGACCTTGTGAGCCTTTCCATCTTGTCCCTGTGGAGGATCCCTCTGGATCGCATTGTGCTCAGCCAGGGAGCTCTTCAACACCTGGACCCATAATGGCTCCAGCTAGCCGCCTGGCACTTGAGCAGCAACGCCCGATTCAGCAGTCTTACCCACCGAGGGTGATCACCATGATTCAGGCCTCCAGGCACCCATCTACCAACAGAATTTATGATTCTGCTTGGAGGAACTTTTCCGCCTGGTGTACCAGGCATAAAATTGGCATGTCATCTGCCATTGTCCCAAACATTTTGGAATATTTGCTGGAGGGGCTTTACAAAGGTCTTTCGCTGAATACCATCAAGAGACAAGTAGCAGCCTTAGCTACGGTGCTGACATGCGACAATTCCTCCTGTCTAGCACATCACCCGATGATTCGCTCCTTCATTAAGGGGGCGACCAACACAAAGCCACTCACAGTCTATAGATACCCCTCGTGGGATCTTTCATGTGTTTTACATGCTCTTAATGTTCAAGCCACTTAAGTCTTGTGAATTGAGTTTTTTGTCAATGAAAGTAGCCTTTTTGGTGGCAGTAACATCAGCCAGACGCATTTCTGAGCTGGCAGCACTCTTTGCCAGGGAGGATCTATGCATTTTTCGTGAAGACTGTGTAATCCTTAGAACGGACCCAACGTTCATTCCTAAGGTAAACTCCTTGTTCCATTGATCACAAGAACTCATACTACCGAGTTTTTGTCCCCGTCCAACTCACGACCTAGAGTGCCAGTGGCACACCTTGGATGTGCACAGAGCGTTGAGATGATACATCAAGCGACCTCTGCCTCCCGCAAATCAGAGACGCTTTTCATTTCCTTCCAGCCCTCTTCCATGGGGCAGAAGGTCTCTTTGACCACCATTGGCAGGTGGATCAAGGCCTGTATAGACAAGGCTTACCAATCCCAGTCCTTGTCCATTGATCGCAATATCACTGCTCATTCCACCTGCAGTGCAGCAACCTCAGTGGCTTGGGTGACTCAAGTGCCCGTTGGCAAGATTTGTAGGGCGGCGACTTGGTCGTCTCCCTCCCCGTTTATTAGGCATTACAAAATTGATAAATTTGCCTCCGCTGATGCCTCTTTTGGCCGGAGGGTGCTACAACGTGTGGTGCCATCCAGAGAGAAACATGCCCTGACTGTTTCCCCCCCATAGGGACAGTGTAGGCTTTAGTATGTCCCAATCCGTGGATTATCCATTCTCATGCTGGAGAAGGGGCGTTGTCTTACCTGAACGCCTTTTCTCAGCATGATGATAGATAATCCACTCCCACCCCTTTGGTGCCTGTCAGGTCCTGTGTCAGGGGTAGGGGAACCAACGCGTCGGACTTTGTCTGCTGCTTCGCCTTTGTCGGAACTGGGGCAGCACAGCCCAGCAGGAGGCGTGGCTAACTCTCAGACTTAGTCTATTGGGTAGAAGGGACTTCAGGAAACCCAGTCCATGGATTATCCATCATCATGCTGAGAAAAGGCATTCAGGTAAGACAACGCACCTTTTAAAAGTAATCCCATTGAAGTGATTTCTAGGAAAGTGAGCAACAATAGTCTTAGCCAATCCTACATCAGGAAATATGCTTCATTTGAGCTCAGTGGGGTTTAACAAAGCAGACATATGCAAGATTTCATTCTTTCTTTTTACAATTTACTGTAATGCATGGATTCCTTTTTTAATCTTACAGTTATTCCCCAGTCTCCAAAATGTTATCTTGATAAATTACGATATGCTTGTTAGAAAAACAGCTGGATATCACTTACTCTAAAAATAGGTTGTTATTTTAGTAAGCAGATTCTTTCTTTGGAAAATGACTCTAAAACCTCTCAGTTAAATCCTATATTTAACCAGCATGGTATGCTGGAAGAAGACAACTCCTGGCATGAAATGAATTCTTCTAATTTGCTAAATTATTCAAAATAATTGACAGTACATTTAACTTTGAGACCACTTTTCTACAAAAATCCTGCTGTGCTAAATTCTTTATTTTTCCATGTTCTGCACAATTCCCCAAAATTAATTGTAAATTATTAATAGTTTTCTCTTGTTTATTTAGGATGCTTTATGTCTCTCTCCCCCTCCCTTATTTCTGAATCAGAATTAATTTCCCAAAGAAAGAATAAAGCAATGGAAAGGTGAAAACAGAGAGATCAAAATGATGTGTCTCTTCCTACTCTCTTGGTTTAACATTGTTCACAGATAATACTAATAATGAAGGTGGAAAAAGAGTTTCACTAGAGTAGAATGCTGAATATTCATTAAGATTAAATTCTGGGTTGAAATTAAATTATTGCTTTATATTGAGGAGCATACTATGTGGATGAGGAAAGAAAGAAATTGATTGACTAGGCTAATATATTATTAAGACATAGGTTGCCATAAATATATCACAATTGGCTAGGCTTCCACCACAAATTTAGTCATGGTTTATGAACTACAGTGGCTCAGTTCACACAACATGAACCAAAATGCCAAATGAACCATTTTACAACTTTGTATAGCATTATATGAAAATGCTAAATGAACAGAATCCAGTCAGTGAAAATAAAGGTTGTTGAATATTTCCTGTGTCATAGGCCACATCAGAATTTAACATCCAGGAAAAATCATTTGAACTTCATTTGAGAAAGACTGCTAGCAAAGTCAATATGGGAACTGATTTGATTGATTGATTACATGCCATCAAATAGCTGTCAGTTCTTAGTAACCATATGCATAGATTTTCTCCATGAGGATCTGTTCCTAACCTAGGTCTTCATCTCTTCCAACAGCATCCCCATCACCACTATAATTTAGTTCATCCCATTTGCTGCTGGTCATCCTCTTCTCTTTCCTTCTACCTTTCCCAGCATTCGAGAGAACTAGGTCTTTACATAATATGTCCGAAATAGGATAATTTGTGCCTCTTCTAGCCTCATTTTTTCACTGTCCTCCTTGATGATACTTTGACTTGTCTTTTTACACTTATTTAGCTTCTAGGGAAATCAGAGTATAATTAACAGGTGTAGTCAAGGAGTAATCTTAACACAGAGATTGTCCAGCATCATCTACCTTGTGGGCAAGACTCTAGGAGAGAAAGGGATGGGTACAGAAGTCACTCTTGCTCCAAATAGACTTATTCTATGCATATATTTTATTTTATGATGGTACAGATGACATTTTATTGATATTGTAGACTGATCATCAGGATACAATTCCATGAATTAATCCAATAAAAGAAAGTGTATATAACTCAGAGGTGAATTGTTGGGTTCTTGGTTGTTGCTGAGCTTGGCTGGGTTTTTTTAGACATTTCATTACCAAGCTAGATGACATCATAAATTATGGTAATGAAATATCACTAAGAAAATAACCAAGAACTCATGGAATGAATAATACATCAGATAATCAGGTAAAAAAAGAAACAAGTATAGAGCATTGCAGAGATGAAGACTTTGCTAAAGACCAGAAAGCCATTCTAGCCATTGTAATCAGGCTATCTGCAAGATGCCTCAAGCAGAACTTCTGAAGAGGAATATTTCACAATCAGGACCACAAAATGTATATGTATACAAATAAAAAAATACAGTACAGCATTTTGTTTTTTAAAGCTGTTGTTTTCTATAAAATTACGTACAAGACAGCTAATAGCAACCAAATACAAAATAATATTCAAGTATCAGACAAAACTGCTTCTGAGGTCAAGGTTTAGGCTGAACAAAAATACTTTCACATGTTGGTAGACATCAGATCGGACCAGGGAGAGTTCTTGAACCTGAGGAAAGCTGTCAAGATCTTCTCCTAAATTTTCACTAGAGATGCTTCAAAAGTTGAAAAGAAGAAAGAAGCTTTTCTAAGTAGAAGCAGGCTTGTACAAGAGATATATTTCTTCAGAACTATCTGCTTAATTGTAGATTAATAGTACCCCGATTGCCTAACAATTACTTAGGAATTTGTGGTTTTTATATTCCATAAAAGAGGTCTATGGTCGTTAGTCTTGTATGTAGAGAAGAGGAGAATGTGTGACTCACCTGATGTTGCTAAACTATAACTTCCCACAACCCATGTACCCCTATTAGTCATGTCTACTGAGACTTCTGGGACAGTAATTCAACTGTATATGGAGCTCCACAGTTTCATTAGTCCTAATGTTTCATGCATTGAGGTGAGATTTCATGATGAAAAAAAACCCATTTTCTTCAAATCCTACATGTTAAACAATTTATATATTGCGTTGACATCACTAGTAAAGATTTCCTGCATGCAAAAAGTCCATTGACTTTGAAGGTGATTAGGTAGGTATTTCAAACATGTTTCTGCCTTGTCAAAGCCCAGGGGGAATCCTTCAGTTTCCTTTGATTGCTGAAAATTAAAAGCCATCTTAGGTAGGACACAGATGAAAACTATCATAAAACTCTTAAAATAAAAGTATTGCAGTTTAAAAAAAAAACTGGAAAGTCCCAAGTGTTCTATGATTGCTGGTGAACATGAGGAAACATGTTTTTATGTCTTTATGATTTGCAAGAAACTATGCAGAAGGACAGAGGGAAAATGAATAAAGCCATGCCTGTTGTTTCTGTCCTTCTGTCAAGTTTCTTCTCTCATCCCCATGTTAAACACAGGAAACTGAAGAAGAAATGTAGCCTTTGCTTTTTCAAAAACTTTGGTAAGGGTAGAAACAGCTAGGAGAAGCCCCTGCTGTTTCTGTTCTTATCTAAATGACTGTGTTTAAGCAGTTTTCTCATCAGGAGCAAAAGACATTTACCCTCTGCAAACTGGTAAGTGACATAGTTGATGCTTGCAACTATTTTTCCCTTGTAGGCAAGTCCTTTCACTAAAAGTCAAGAGGAGGACCATCAGAAAGAACGATGATGCCTTTCCCCTTAAAGTTTTAAAATTCAAAAGGAGAGGTAAGGGTATTTATGAATATTAAACAGGCTACATATGAGGTGCCCCAGTTAGGAGACTTGCAGTCCAACGAATTTGCCCCTATAGAAAAGCTACTTTTTTAAAACATCGGTTGATCAGAAACAAATCTACATATAAAACTAGTTTGCTTTTTCAAAAAATAGATGGGTTTCTCTGTCTAATGAAATAGTCTTGTAAATGCGATCAGTCACATTTTTGTCAAATACAATTGTTTCTTGAAGACTTAAGCAAAAACTGCAGAAATTATTAAAAAGCCTCCCTGTTTGTAGAGATGAAGTATGTGCTTAGGATTTGGGTGACTTGAGTCAAATTGATATGGCCAGATGTGACAGAGCTCAAAGCAAGACAAATCGTTCAGGGAGTGCAATGACAGTCACTCTGTCAATCATTATCCAAGCCAGTGTTTCTTAAAATGTGGCCGTAGATACCTGGGAGCCCCCCAAAACTTTTTTAGGTCCACAAGATCAAAATTGTTTGTCAATCTGTGTTGAAAGATAATATTAAAATGCCATCAAACCATCTTGAGAAGCAGTAGCTGTGTCAATTTTAATTTTTAATATGGTAAATATTGATACAAACAAAAGCTCTTTTGGGGTCCTCAATAATTTTTAAAAGTGAGAAAGGGTCATGAGAGAAAAAAAGAGACATTTATCTAACCCAAAGACTTCTATTCCCTTTCTCCTGCCAGCATCACTCAACAGATTTTGGATTCCCTACAGCATTCATGTGGCTTAGCTTAAATGTCTGCATGAGGAAGCCCTAAGTTCAAGCCAGCTCCTACAAAACTTAAGTAGAGCTACAGTATATTTGTGGCAAGTTCTGGCTTTGTAACACTTGGCATTTCTCTGAGTTTCTACACATTACGTGTATCCCCCTAAGATCCATACAGAATGAGGAAAGGAGGGAGGAGGTGGGGTCCTACCTTCAAGTCACAATGACTTATTTTACAGTAGTGAGACTTTCCAATCGTAGCTCTTTGGGGAAGGAAGCTAAAAATGATAGATCACAGGACTAGCCTGGAGCTCAATGTCCTTTGTTAGTCTTCATACCCAGGAGCAAGAATATTAAAGGAATGTTATGAAAGACTGCAGAATTGTGAAGGTGTAAACCTTGAAAATACTGAGGGTTCATGTCCTCTTACCATAGTTTGTTCCACATCCATCATCTCCCCCTCCCCCCATCCTATCTGATTTTGTGCCCGTTGGTGCCAATTATGTGGAAAACAAAACCACCCTTGCTATTTTTCATTCATCATAACTCCTAGCTCCAGCCCCAAACCACATTTTGCAAGAGGCTTGCCTAGAGAAATGGCTATGATATATGTAGATCCCACGTTGCCTCCATCCAATCTATGTAAGCAAGGAAGGAAAAGCAACTCCTGTTTTTCCAAATCTTGGGGGAAAGTCTCAGAAATAAGCATTACCTTTTCAACAAACTCCAAAATGTAAACCCTACTTCATTCAATACTCTAAAATGTGATCTACCTAAGCAAAAACTTCACTGAATTATTATTTTTTAAAAGTTATCAACAGTTCTCTTTAATTTTTGTGCATGAAGCTATTAGTATTAAATAGTTTTACATCATTCTGTTATTTTGTACAGCTTCAGGCTGCATTTGTAATGCTCCTGTTTTCCTCACAACAATAACCTTGCAAGGTGGGTTGGCTGAGAGAGAAAATCATCCAGCCCAAACTATCCAGCTGGCTTTTATGCCTGTGAGAGGACTAGAACTCACAATCTTCTCGTTTTTAGTCCAGTACCTTAATCATTCCATTGTCTATTTCCTGTCCATTTTCTGTGACAGTATATAAATGAAAGATTCAGATTCAGGCCCCTAGCTGATTTGACGGCTTCTGGTCAGGTCAAGTTAAATCAGCTTGTTTTCTGAAATGTCAAACTGGGTTCCAAATTGAATGCTATCATCTGGGTACACCTGTTTTGCACAGATGGGTGCCTGGCTATTAGAATGGGGAAACTTCAGAGTTGAAAATAGGGTCTGCAATGTTGTCACAGCAAGCCAAATGCTGTGATGTTATAATAATTGCTGGAGATTTCTGTTCTGCCATCCCAGAGATTTAAAAAAAAAAGGCCTTATGGTGGCCACAGCATCACAATCAAACTACCATCCAAAGAAAGGCAAGATTTTGTTTTTGATGTTGTGGATTACCCATTGTGAAACTGTGGATACCCCTATAAGCACTGTTGCATCACTTAGTGAAGGTGTTGCTGGACTATCTGTACTTTGTTCCTTGGCCATCTTTACTTCCTGGAAGTTATACTTAGGAAACAAATCTGTGCACAGCATATGTATATGCTGTGCTGTCTTTGAAGTGAGTGGGGGTGCCTGCCTGCTTCTCAATGTAGTGATTCTGTGTTAAGATTTTGGTTCTGTGCAGAAAGCCAAGGTGGAGGAACTTGAGTGTTATCCCAATCAAATCAGTTGAAGTAACTACTTTCATTCAGCATTTCTCTTATCTTTAAAAAAGAAGCAGATGGCAAACTTCATAACTCATCACTTCCACCACTTTTGATACAGAGAAAAGAAGGGAGGGAAAAGTGATAGGGCTAAAAAGAAATAAACCAAACCAAACTAACCAAACAAACAAAAACCTGTTCGGCCAATGACTCAGCTATGCTCAGCTTTCTTGTTTTCTGTGTGCCTTTTAGTTTATCTGTCTCTTAAAACACCAGCTGATATTCCTCTGGCTAATCCTAATACTATTTCATTTAATTTTTTTCCATCCCATCTTTCTTTCTTCTCTGTTTCCATTTCCACTTCTTATTGAAGATGGAGATAGAATGGCTAAGAGTAACTCCAAAATAACTATCTTGGCAATTGGCCTATTTTCTGATTGTGTAAACAAGATGTTGTCTCTTCTACAGTTGAGATATAATCCTTTTTTTCCCACTTCTAGACAGATTATTTTGTAAGGTACAGAAATTTCCTCTCTATTGTCTTAGCAGTTGTCAATGGGTGTGGAAAAGCTCAGTCATTATTTTTCTTCATATGAACAAGCAAACACAGCCCTCTGTTTTGAAAATATGGATACCACACCAAGAAAAAGTTATGTCTATGTTTTTCCATTCCATGGATGGAGAACAATAGAAACATGGAATATATTTCACTTATTTCAGTATTTCTTTTATCTTTATTCAGAGTTGTCCACACAGTCTTCCTCAGACTGATACTCCTCCTTGACTACTCATCCCTGCTCCACCGTGGACACCCTAGCAGCTGCTTCTATTGTGGAACTTACCATTATTTTGTCATTAAATAATACAGTGGCCTAAATAAATACGTATAACTCAGAAATGCAAATAATTAAGAGCAAGGGGACAATAAGCTGCCTAATATTTGGAGAAGAACAGATCGATTAATTTCCTCGTATATTGTGATATAGACTTTAACTCAAGCATTTTGGCCAATATTTCAAGCTAAAATTATTTAGCATCATATAAGCAAAGTAAAAAAGTTTGCAGGTGGCAAAGCTTTTTTTCCCTTTTGAACATCTATCAATGTTGTAATTTTTTCTATCTTCCCAGACAGTTTCTTGAAAGACATACGCAACCATGCATATTTAAATCTCATTTTAATAACTGGGGATGGTTCATGTTAGCTAATGTCCATTCTGATTTCAGATTGTGACACTGGCTCCTTCATAAAGGAAAGTAGCTGGCTCACTGAGGCAACTGATTCAGTATCTTTTTACCATTTGTTTTACAAATTTGGCTTAGATAGGTTTAAATTTACTTACCAATATGGACACAGAATAATACAAAGAAGCAAGATCTCTGGTAATTGATCCATCAGATCCTAAACTCTTCAGGATTCATTGATTTTGGCAGAGCAAATGTAGGAAAGCACCTGGACGCAAAGAAAAGTATTCCAGCTGCCAGTCTGGTGAAGTTGTGAAAACCTTTCTGGACAAACAAAGCAGTAGCTCAGAAAGATGAAAGCTCCTGGTCTGATGAATGTGCATGAAATGCTTTGCTTATGCTTACAGCTCCCTGGAAAGGATGAGTGATGTACTATAGTTAAATGACCTACCCTTGAAAATACTTCCCTGATCATACTGGCAAGGTGAAATTAGCTTGTGCTTATAGCACTGTGTTGGGTTGCCAGGCTAAGTGATCTAAAGAGATGAGGGTGAAAAGAGAAACTAAAAATCTCAGATGGAGTGGGATCCTATTGAATTGGTGAGGTGTTGCAGTGAGTTCAGAACTGAGCAATCAGAAGAATTATGTTTTTTGTGCAGAGGCTGACATCAACAGTTACAATTGTTCCTGAATACTATGATACTATGTCATAAATGAAGCATTTTGCTTATTATTTCTTTATTTATACTATACAGTTTGTCTTTGTTTAGCTTCTGTCTCATTTAGTGACCATTCACATTTACGACAGTGATGACAAAATAACTTTGCAACCAATCCTTGCATTTATGACCTCTGCAGGCCTATAAAGCAAAGGAAAAGTGAAATAAGGTCATAAGTACAATCGTGTTTTCACTTAGCAACCTTTTCACATAACAACTGAGTTGCTGGTCCCAATTGTGATTGTTAAACGAGGACTATCTATATAGCTTGCCCCATTCCTAATAAACATTTTGGCAAATAAAGTTTTAAAAAGAGGATTAAGGGCCTATATAAACAATGGAAATCAATAGTTAAAAAACAAGGATGCCAAAGGTACCATTTGTTTAATCTAAAAGTCAAATGACCAGTGGAGGAGTGTTGTTTTGGCCCTACAGTGCAAATGTTTTTAAAAATACAAGTATTTTGAAATACTTGTAGAGTAGGGACAAGTAGGGAAAGTGTATATCATAAAATGGAGGCCACCACTGAGAAGATTTGTTGCCTGGACAGAATCCCACAAATCTCTCAAAATAATAGAAAATTAACATTTAGCATTTTAATTATTAATTTGGGAGAAAAAAAGGATACTCAAAGCTGTAAAACAGTGGTTCTCAACCTGTGGGTCGGGACCCCATTTGGGGTCAAACGACCATTTCACGGGGGTCGCCAAACAACGCAGTCCGCCATTTTTCCCCCTTTTCCTTAGCTGTGCTACTCCCTTTTATTTTATTGGCTTTTGAAAGCCAATAGAATAGACTCTCTTGAATAGAGTCTAATTCTATTGGCTTTCAAAAGCCAATAGGAATTGTCCAGGCTGTCTCTGCCCTGCTGAGCCCGCCAAAAGTCCCATTCTTCAAACGATGCTGCACCAGTTGAGTAGTCCTCGACTTACAACCAGTTGAGTAGTCCTCGACTTACAACCGGTTGGGGGTCGATTTAACAGGCTTACTTGTCCCAATTCAGAGTGATATAATATCCCAAACTTTAGTGGTTATTGGTTCTCCATCTCTACTCAAAGCTAACTAGGCTGTGTTCCAACCTGAAACTCAGAAGACTATTGATCTTAATAATAATAAAAAATCCTTTATTATCAAAGTATAACATGTATACAGTGAAATTGGCTGAGCCTCCCTCTGTGCCCCCCCCACCACAAACTCGCGGTGACTACAAATCCCCAACTTATTTCACCCTGTGAACTAATTGCACATCACGCCGGCCTCACGAGCCTGTCATGCATAAAGTTATAAAGTTATGTCCCATTCAGAAGCCCGACAGCCCATGGATAAAAGCTGTTCTTCACTTCCTGAAAGGGTAGTACTGTAGGAAAAAGCACTGTAGTTTGTTGTATCACCTGCAACAGACATCATTTGTACTGGGTGATGCATTTTGATTGCACTGGGGGTTGCATCAGAAAATAAAACTGGTGTCATTCTGATTAGAATATCTACTCCTGCTTGATTATCAGCATTCCTTCTCTTATCACCCATTCTGGTAGTGCACAGGAGGAATGGGGAGGGCCTGGATTCTCTTTTCGGCCATTAGTGCTGGGAGCAACAAGCAGAGGTATGTTTGTTTGTTTTTGTACCAGTAAGAAAGATTACTTCTACTAATGGACATCTCTTTCTATGACAAAATTCCGTGCTACTTTATGATCCCTAGTGTGCTTTTCCAGAGACCTAGAATTTTAGTCCAGATGTATTACACATGATGAACCTTTGTAGAAAAGTCTACCAAAGCAAAATGAGCAAAAGGACAGCTGAGCAGCGATTAAGCACAGTTTAACTAGGAAGTATTGCATTTCACTGGGAGACAGTGCTAGAACAGCTGCTGGATCATGGAAGGCTACCTCTGTGCTTTATTACCATGAAATGAATGGGTGTCAGGAAGCATGACAGAATTCTAATAAGTAAAATAGAACTTAGAATCTAATATGTCAGAAACAAAATGCCAGACATTGTCATTTTTAATCCATAAAAATGTCCTGGAAACTTCTTCTCTTTTATTATCATGAAATATTTAAACACACACTCACACACATCTTTTCTTTAATCTCAGGTCAAGGTCACCACAATAGTATGTCCAATAAGAACTAGTTAATTCATTCACAAAGACAAATTTCCCCTTTGCAAGGCTGAAAACACAATATTTGGCAGAGAATACACCTCCTGTGAAACTCTCACTCCTTTAGACATGGAGCAGAGATTAATGCTAAGAGTTAAGTCTCACTCCTGCCTTTTCAGTCTTAGGTATATCATGCCATCCAAATTGCTGCTTGTGAAACATCACAAAAATGGTATTTGATATGCAAAACCACAAAGTAAAAGATAAAGAAATCCTTGTGGGTTGTTATTATTATTATTGGTTTATTATTCAACTGAAGGCAGGGAACATAACCAATTCTCTCATTTTCTATTTTCCCCACAACAACAACCCTATGAAGTGGTTTGGGCTAAAAGAGAGCAACTGGACCAAAGTCACCCAGCTGAGTTTCATGCCTAAGAAAAGCCTAGAACTGAGAGTCTTCTGATTTCTTGGCCAGTTCCTTACACCAAACTGGCTGTCAGTCGCTCACAACGCAAAATGTATAATTGTTAGAAGAGTACCAATAAAGGAGAGCATTTGTAGATCAGAGTTGAAATGTGGGATCCTTGGTGCTCTGTGAACTTGGTTGTTTTCTTGCAGACGTTTGATTACCCAACTTGGGCGACATCATCAGTGCTAGAGTTAGAAGAGTTTGTAGATTTGTTACAGTACATGAATATTTCTGCTGGATGAGATTGAAGCCCATCATGATCTAGCAGTTGGTTTCTCAATGTGGTCAACCAGATTCTTTGAGGTACTTGTAAGCAAGGGACAGAGACAGAGCCCCCTGACACCCATTCGCCTTCAAGTGATATGTAGAGGCATATTGCTCCCTGGGCATGGAGTCTTCATGACTAATAACCCTTGATAGCAATGCTTCCCATGAATGCATTCAGTCTGTTTTTAAAGCCATCCATTGGACTCACCATTGCAATATAGTGTGGCAATAAATTATGCAGGTTAATCATCTGCTCTTTTAAGAATGCAGATCCCTGGTTCTGATGATTTCCTCCTTGCTCTGATAAAAACAGTAGTTCCAACCTTTTAAAAAAAACTTCTCTCAAAGAATACAGAGGGTTTATGAAATTCCAAAGCAGAAGCCCTGAATTTTAATTAGAATGGACAGGTACAAAACCTCGAATGATTTCATGAATACTTAACACGCATTTGCCCAGTAAACTATGCCAGACTTTCCAAACCAAGTTGCACCAATTACCATAATTCCCAGACGGTATGGCTGGAAATTAGAGAAGATAATGTCTAACACCTCTGAAGGAAATCAGCTTAAAGGAAGCTACTTTATACAATAATGTGCTTAACAAAATTTTGATAAATAATAGATGGCATAGCACCAATATTTTAAAAGACTTTATAGTTATCTTTCCTCGTTTTCATTCTCTTTCCAGCTTTGTTTTTATGTTGGAGATGGTTTTATTTTATTTAAAGTTATTGTTCTGTGGCTTTACTTCTTTCTGTGGTTTTAAATTGCTTCTCTAAGTTGCTAGGGGAATATTGCTTATTAGGAGTAAACATATAAATAATCCATATAAATAAATAGATTCCTATTTGAATTGCCATTTAATGAAGTATCAAAAAAGTTGGTTTCATTTGCATAACATAAAAATGTTTCTAAACAATTATCAGTGTTCTGATTATTTTAAACTGTTCAACGGTTCCATAAAGTTTGTTACCTATGATTGCTATGGATTTTCAAAAATCTGAGAACCAGTCAATTTTTTTAAACTGAAAAGTGGAATAGTAGTATCTTCAGTGAATTGGTTTTTAACTTTTCCAATTGTAACCTTTAATAATCATTATTTATAAAAATAAATTTCTTCACCAAACCTTTTACAGGCTTTAGTAGTGTGAAAGCAGGAGGCAAGGGAAGACTATATTCCTTGATCCAACTTTTAGAAAGTTTGTGATTTTCAGTAACTTTGAACAAACCAAAAAATATTCTTTATCTTTTCAAAAACACTTCTAATTAAAAAGCTTCTTGAGATCATTATTCAATATTGGAAAAGATTTTTTATAATTTCTGGCTATAACCTGCTTTTTAAAAAATTCTATATGACGGTTATATTTGTGTGGAAAAAAAGATCCTTTCATTTAACAGGTCCCTTTAGGGCAATTTTTATAAAAGCACAGAGTTTATTCAAGGCTGCCAACATTTTACGATGACAGTTTCAGTGGGCATATAAATCTAAGGCATAAACTTAAATCTAGGATTAGCATAGTCCTTGAGGAGGCACGCTTATTGTTTAGTCTTTCTTTTTTTAAATTGAAGAGTTTTTTTTAAAAAAAGTTTGACACTGCAGAAGATATTTAAATATACAAAACTGATTGCATCAGCATATTCAGCCATCTCATGACAATGCTTTATATCAGCTTTTTCCAAGTTGGCCTCCCGATATATGGGACTACAAATATCACTGTCCCCAATGAATGCTCAATAATTAGAGATGGTGGAAATTTTTGTCCACCATAATCAGATTGTGGAAGATTGCTATATATAGAGGCATCAACATTTGGAAAAGCTGTTTTTTCTTCACTATATTTCCTTTAAACATTTGTCAGTTAGAGACCTGCGATTAATTTCACATTAAGTCTAAATTGCGATGCTATGATGCACATTAGAAAATCACTGTTGAATTTTTATTTACATTTTAACATGTTCCTGCTGAGATGGCATCAAAATTTGGTGAAATGAAACATTTGGGGTACAGAAAAGATAACTTTATATATTTTGATGCTGCCACTATTCTCATATGAAAACGTAACTTGATATGAATCTCTTTGTTTCATTTGCAGGTGAGCAGGTCAAACCATTTACACCAGAAGAAGCTAAAGAAATTGTGATGACTCTTCAAAAACCAGTGGTCTTCAGCAACATGACTTTCGATTGGCCGGTACTTCATTGGAATGTTACACATCTGGCTAGTCTATTGGCTGGAAAGAAAATACTTTTTAGAATAGGAAGGAAGGACACAGGTAGAGAAATAACAACCTTCTTTCTCATTTTTCCCTGTACAGATATAGTACTTCAGATGTATTTTCTCCTTAAAATAAATGGGAAATGCTGCAGGATGGTTCACAGTAATATCATCCATTCTAAAATGATAAAGAACAATAATAAAGCATGTCCATTGTGAGACAGATTATCAATTAAGTGCCCTCTAAGTATATAGTGAAGTGAAACATCCACTGATATCCATCCACCACGGGTAACCAATATTCTTGAAAGAAATTCTTTCTTTTCCCTTAAGCCTTCCATCTCACATCTAATTCTAAGTGCCTGGAGGAACCCTAATGATCAGATTCTTTCCAAGGGATGGGAGGAAGTTTACCTGCGTGAGTGGAAGCCCACTGACATAAAGTTTGACGCTATGCAGGTAATCCTTGACCTACAACATTTCATTTAATGACTGTTCAAAATTATAATGGCTCTGAAAAAATGACTTATGGCCATTTTTCACACTTACAATGGTTGCAGCATCCCCGTGGTCAGACTCTTGGCAACGGACTCATATTTACAACAGTTGCATTATCCCAGGTCATGTGATCACTTTTTGTGACCTTCTGACAAGCGATGTCAATGGGGAAGCCAGATTCACTTAATCATGTTATTAACTTAACAACTGTAGTCATTCACTTTACTGTGGCAAGAAAGGTCGTAAAATGGGCAAAATTTAGCACAGAAATTTTAGGCTCATCCACAAAATATTATAGATTCAATAAAACATACTGTAAAATAACTATGTATAAATACAATGAACATAATGGAGCGAAAGGAAGTACCTCTGAGTACAGAGTTTATTGTTTGCTGTTGAAAAATCCTGTTAGAACTCTAGTTGTAAATTATTGGTTAGAACCTGTCCATAGTAAATACAATACATATTAACAAGCGATTTTATTCACTTCTTTAGAAACGTCTGTATTGTGTTTGTTGTTCTGAGTTGTGTTGATATACAGCTGGGATTGGGAGAACACACAATGGCCAATCCTGCTTAGGCAATTTTATTTTGACTTCCAGAAATGTCTGGGATCCAAGGAATATTGATTTTATATTGAAATGAAAATGCTGTCTTCTATTATTTATATGGAACCTATCTGATTTTATTCATGTAAAGGTCTCTAGAATCCTTTGATGAAAGATGCTGTGTAAAATGTTTTGCTAAGAAACAGGCTTGTACTAAAAGTGATCACTTTTATTGTAGGTTAACTCTGAAATACAGATGGCCAATTAGTTTCCTCTTTTGTTTCCCCCACCCCGCAAATTCCACACTTTCAGCTTTGTAATTGTCTATATATAGTAAATTTGGTAGCAACATTAATTGAAAGGCAGCATTAGAATATGGAAAAGTCAGTTTTAGAGGGAAGATATTATTTTATAGTAAAATACATTAAGGTCTTTTGGTAGATTATTCCCTATCTTTTGACATTTAAAAAGGAATAAGAAACAGAGAGAGATGTCCTAAAATGCATGACCTGATGAAAGTTATGACTATCTTATTGCTTTTTATCATTCAAATTTTTTAATGAGTAGAAGTTTTCAAGCTAACTTTATTTTTTTAAAATAAACTTTTCTTATTCCATTATCACTAGACAACTATACTTAATTGATAATTTTTAATTATTTACCATGGAAGTATGAATAATTCAGAACATAATGAATAATTTTTTTTCTTGCTGAATCAGAGATAAATTACTCAAAATCTCTGTTCACGGGGGGTCACAGAACAAGCTATATAATCTTTTGACTATGTCAATAATAACCAGAATTTTGCACATAAAATATCCAAGTAATAAATGTAATAGTTCTTGTTAAGAATTTGCAAGAAATTGATGATAGCTCAGATTTCAGATTGAATACTAAATTCAGCCAACCCAGTGTACTAGAAATGTTTTCAACCTACATGTATAATTCCTTACCATTGACTTTACTGGCTAAACTTATAAGATTTGAATCCCAAAACATCTGGACCGTACCTAATTGTCTGTCTTTGGGGCATATATTTTGAGAAGCACTGGAATGAACTTTGGATCTTTCCTCCTTCAGCTTTTGCCCCCTCTCTTCTAGAGCAGATGGATCAGAACTTTATTTAGTTGTTTATTATTTCTCATATAGTCCACTTTCACTTCAGAGGCAGACTATGGTTGATCTTGTTTTTATACTCTACTAGAAACTGCAGATTAACTGCATTTTTAAAACATCCATTAAATTTTACATTTGGACAAGAGCCTAAATTTAAGAGAAAACTTTAAGCATGTACTTTTAAAAGAAAGGTGATTTGGGGTTTTATTTTTGCTTTTGTTTGAAATAAATCAGAATGTTTGAGAACCTCAAAGCAGCCATTCCCATGCAGTCAGAGTAATAAGAGATAAGTATTCTCTGAGCATTGCTTTGCTTGGAAGAATGAAAAGTATCCACACTGTATTTAAATAACTGAACAGTCAAATGAAGAGTTAGCAATTTTTCTGCCATTCATGCATTCTGCTTCAATTTGGTTTCCCCAGCAACAGTAGTTTTGGTCAGTGTGCAATATTGTGCATTATGTTTTTGGGTTGAAGGACTAGTTCTTGTAATGAGAAATGAAAGTCTGATAAGCCATAAGGATCATTGCAATATTGTGGAAACAAAAATAAAGCACCCCCTTTTTCCTTATATGGGAAAATTTTGGGGTAAGGAAGAAGTTCATTTTATGCAAATATTGAGTTTGCTAGTACACTTTCTAGTTCTCTTTACATTTCTGCATTTCAGATAATGCAAAAATGTATATGATTACACAAAGCCAAAAGTACAATTAGTTCATCCAACCCCTTTGGTATCTACTGTGCATAAAATTAGGCAGTTTTAACTAGAGTTTTCATTGCATAGTAATAGATTTGCATTCCAATATTGTCTATTCTGTTGAGGTTGGCGCACTTAGGAAACAAAAAGCACCCAGATTTCTGGAGCACTGTTTTTTGGAAGTAGGATAAATTAATAGAATCTTGAAAGCCTTCCAAAGCAAGTCTCCAGATAAACTGATAGCTAACAAAATTAGGTGGGGTTACTGAGTTACTGAGTCTTTTTCTCATGCTTTCCCACTCCCCTGGATTAAGGAATCATTTCTGTAATGGTCTTCCCTCCTATTATGGTCCTGTTTCATCTTCTATGTTCCCAAGAGTAGAGTTTTATTAGTCATGCTTGATATCTGGTGACTTTACAGACACATCGCTGTACTGTCTTGCCTCAAACACTGAACTGATTATCCATTGCTTTCTTATGAGCCATTTACTTACTTGCTTACTTTCCAGATGAAGCTCCAATCCTAGGTTTTTTTTTTAAGTTTTCTTAGTAGTTTTCTCAATGGTTTCCCCTTCCAAATCCTAATCAGGTCTGCTTAGCTGCTTAGCTTTTTGAGATGGGTGGGAAATCAATAACAGTCAAGCCACCTAAATTTCTTTTTTTCTTGACCTTCCTAATAAAACATTAGAAATTCAGAATATTATCCATATAAATATACTTTTACTCATAGGACATTCTCACTTTATGAAGTGGGGAAACAAATCTTGCTCATTTTTCCAGATAACTCTCACTCATTGTATTTCCTTAAAGTCAGCTCAAGGGTTGGGGAAGACCCAGAACAATATGGCCAATTGCATTGAGGGCAATAGGAAGTAAAGGGAATTGACTGAAATTGCTCACCTCCTTCTCCATCAATTGGCAGTGTTCAGAGGCTTTCAGTATTCTTTATTATTCCAAGAAGAGACATATCCACTGGCTCTCTGAATAATATTTTTGAAAGAGTTTCATGCCCCACCATTGAAATTGCTGTTGCCATTGATGATATTTCGTATAGAAAGGTCCTTGTCACCTTGATACTACAGTATTATCTGCCTTCTTCATGGTATGAATTAAAGGTAATCATACAGGATAAAAGAATGCCAATAGGTTGAGAGCATTTGTAAAAAAAGGAAGTTTGAAAAATAGCAAACAGATGGTAATACTTACCTTTGTTATATGCAGTAATGTTGAAAAATGTCTTGCCAGCTTTTAAAATCTGTTTTGACATTTAAACTTCAAAGAAAGGGAATCTTGCTGGAAGAGATCAAAAGCACATCTAGTGTTGTACAGATTTTTGTTTACAAAAAGAAAAAGAAAATGCTAGTGGATTCAACTATGCTTTTCCTGCCCTGATGGAATATATTTTGGCTGATCTAGGAAATCCATCCACCTTGAAGACTTGAAGAAAAGTTATGATTTAAATCTTGAGTTAAGTCTTGGGGGTCCGTGGCCATAGTCACAAAAGCTATTTAAAGGGGGTCCGTGGTGAAGAAAAGATTGAGAACCACTGCATTATCAAATAAAGATTTTGTTAATGACTCAGTGTTCCAGAGAATTAAATGTACTGTAGTATCATCTAATCCAGGGATGTCAAACGGCTGGCCCGTGGGCCAGAGGCGTCATCTAGAAGCTGCGCCCACCCCATTGCTGGTAATGGCAAAACCGTCCTGATACATTGCGCGACGTCATGTGACGTCGCAAGTTTGACATGTCTGATCTAATCTATATAGCCTTACTTTTCTTTAAAAATATATTATTAAGAGTAAAGCTCTTTCCCAAATGAACAATGAAATCTATTTTGTGGGGTAAAATAGCCAAAAAATGTAGTGGTACTTAATGCATTTATGGGGGGATGATTACTTGTTTAGTTGTGTCAATAACCTACTGAATTTTCATCTAAACAGTCTTGGAAAAAGGCATTTAAAATGTTTATTTGGAACATCATAGGCTGACTCTCAGACTATATTTATACAACATTTTCTTCTCTCTTATGAATCCTATCTAGGAGAAAAGATAGAAGAATATCTGGCTTTTTATTTTCAGTGTGTATTAAATCCCCGAATGCTCAAATACTGACTGGTTTGCAGCATAACAGATTCAACACCTGTTGAATAAAATGTGGACCTTAGACATACTAAAGGTCCACATTTTGAGCTGATGAATACAGGAAAAAGAAATGTTTCTGGGGAATATTTCAGGAACCTGCTGCTTGTATTCCAAAGTGAACTCTAGAACTTTGGTTTAAAAAATGTCATTGCATAAAACAGATGCATTAACTCATTCATATGAAGTTAAATTACGATGGTCCTGCTGATCCTCTAGCTTTTTATTTCATTTCCCTTTCTCAGAAAAATAGAACAGGCTGTCTAAGTGCAAAAGATATCTAATTCTGGCATTATATAAATGCAAGAAATAAAAACATAATTCAGTCCCTCTGATAGGCAAGCAAGGCTCAAAAAGTTCTGGCTTGTAATCCTGGACGACTGCTGTTAATCCATGCCAACAACACCAGCCAAGATGGATCAGAGATTGACTTAGTAGAAGGCAGCAACCTTGTGTTTCTATGGACTAAAACCTAAGCTACTTAGCTAGAAAGGAAACATTTCAGGGTTTTCAACAGAGGCCCATATCCAAAGAGCCTCACAGCTAGGAAATCAGCATCTTCACAAATGAAGAGAATTTCTAAAGCAGCAGAGAACAAGAGTAAAACAAGAAAGTTCTCACTGAAGATGCCTAAGCAATTCTTTGAATCTTGACAGAGGTTTTTAAGAGAGTAGAAAAAACATTGAGTTTCTGCAGTGCCACCACTCTATACATTACATCCCAGCCACTCTATACATTACATCCCAGCCAGCCAATTCTGGGAATTTAACTCCACAAGTTTTAAAGTTGCCAAGTTTGGAGACCCCTGACTTAAATGATAATGGCCTTGGGCACATTCATTGATCATGCACCAAAATCTAAGCCCAAATTTGTTTGGATCCTGAAACAATTGTGCAGTTATTGGAAAATTGGATTGCTGTTCTCACAGCTACAGATGGGGTAATCACAGTGGTGGGATTCAGATATGTGAACAACCGGTTCTCTGTGTGGATGCCGCTTCCGGAAATCCATTCTGGGCCTGGGCAACAAAAAATTAGCTACTGGTTCTGCTGAACTGGTGGTGCGAACCGGCTGAATTCCACCATTGGGTAACCAGTTATTGAATTTAAGAAAACAATTCTCTTTTCATACTGGCACTCTGCATTTTCAGCAACTATTTATGAAGTACATAAAAGAAGCCCCAGGTTTTTGGTTATTTGTTCCATCTAGATTCCATTTATTTATCAGTAGGGTCCACATGAAGCCCTGATGAGATTCAGTGGCAACATTATGAAAAATTCAGAAACTCCAAAAGGGACAAACGCTTATTGAAAGAGCTAGCTATATTTTAAAGGTAAATGCAAAACCTCATCTACAGACTTAGGCAGAAGAAAGGCTCCCAGCAGTAAAAAGAGTTACACACGAGCGTTGTCATATGTGCTGCCTCTTCGGCTGAAACATCTATAAACTGCTGTAATTTCATTTGTGGTTTTATATTGCATTTAACCAGCAGTCTGAGGCTGAGAGAGAAAGTTATTGCTTTCTCTGCTAAAGTGCTTTGCTTTATAACTGTCTTATTATTGGTGTTGTGTTTAATGTGCCTGCAATGTTGTCTCTTCTGATACAGCTACAGCTCCTCTCTTCGAAACGGAGTGTGCGTATGCAGAGGCTACGCTTGATGATTTTCTGGCCTGGAGTGAAGGACAGCAACCTTGTCCTTCTGGACCATTCAGTAGTTATGATTTGTGTAAATGCTGGATGTATGCTGACTATAAGTACATTGCTAGGCTATTCGAAGACAAGCCAGAACATTTCCAGGTACATTTACCTTCCTTTGTCCTTTATTTATCTCATCAAAATGATGGGGTGATTCAGGAAATCCTGATTATTATAGAATTTTTTTCTGGTGTACTGAAAAATTAGTGTGCTGTGGAAGGTTTTTAAAAAATATTTATTTTTAAAATTTATTTTTAAATATTTAATTTATTTAAATTAATATTTAATTTGATTTCTAGTTTTCTTCCCAAAGATTCAAGCAGTACAGTACATAGGAGCTTTACCAGTTCTATTACCATAGCATCAGAGAGCTAACAAAATTCGTATAGGCCATAGTCCATTTTTCTGCTTGAATATAAAATCTGAAAACAAAGCTTCTCCAGTAAATGGCTATCTACTTGTGGCTTGGACGTCTTCATCTGGGAGAGGCACAATGGCACACATTAAAAATGAAATTTAGTTGCTTCTTCTCAAAGTGTACACATACATAACACACATTTAAACATACTATATACAACATATGTATAGACCTACACCCTTACATATAAGTAACATATAAATATTAATCACTGTCCATCTTGAATACATAATGGAAGGAGGAAGCTTTAGAGTTCACAAGGTTAATATTGTATGGAACAAAACTGTGACTGAATCTGGATGTTCTGCTTCGGATACCACGGATCCTCCTCCCAGAAGGTAACAAGAAAAACAGGTTGTGAAGAGGATGTGTAGTGTTTACCTTCTGTCATTTTCTGTAGAAAGCCCTTCAAGGATGCTTGAAGAGGACTATCACATCCAACCAGTGTTCTCATGCTAGAAAGACTCACCTTCTTTACATATTCCTACTAGAAGTTGTCTTCCCTAATCAGTAATAACCATTCCTTTCTTTTGAGTTCATCTCAATTAGCTATAGCGGATCTCTTCCAGAATTGAATGCAGTGTCAAAACAGCCCTGTGAAGATTATTAGGCACAAGGGCAATAATTAAATCAAAGTCACTCAGTGAATGTCCTTTACCAGATTTTGACCAGCTCTTCCACACTGACTATGAATTAATCACTATGTATTTAAATCTCACCAACATATGGTAGTTACCCTTATAGCAGTGGTGGCGAACCTATGGCACGGGTACCAGAGGTGGCACTCAGAGCCCTCTCTGTGGGCACGCGCGCCATCGCCCCAGTCCTAGGCCTTCAGCTGGGTTTTATAAAACCTTTTCACTTTAGGCCTCCACCACCATGTACAAAAAAAAAAAGGTTCAATCAATCAGTCAATTTCAACTTCTCGCAGGGAAAAAAAAGATCTTGCAAAGTTGGAATTGATTGATTGAACTTTTTAGTCCCACCCAGTCTGCCGTTACCACCGCAGCCATCCTATCCAATGGGCCACACCACCCGGCACCCGACGATGCATAAGTGGGTTTTGGGTTGCAGTTTGGGCACTCGGTCTCTAAAAGGTTCACCATCACTGCCTTATAGTATAACTGTGTTTTCATACTTGATTTTTCCTCTCCCAAGCTGTAGGATAACAACACCGGCTTATCTTATTGGGCTGTTAGAAAGAATTCTGATACATTCAATGCAAAGCAGTTTAGCTATTCAATTAAACATTATATGAATAAATAAAACTATATATGTTGAACACTATATGTTCAATGAAAATACTGTGTGATTAAAAACACAATACATAACCTTCACATTCTTTTTGGGCCATAGTCTGTAGAATGTGGGGAGCTTTAACGGGATCTGTAATCCAAGAGCAGTTGTTGGATTATATGTTGCCTATTCCTGAGGTAAATGGTAAGAATCATTATAGCTTTATAGAGAGGTGAGAGAGAAGGGCTTTTAATAAATACATTTAAAGAACTGAAATATCGGACTTTGCTCAACAGATACTCAACCAGAGGAAGAGAAAAAGAGATCTCATTATCTGTTACAAGTGAAGGAATTTATGCATGCCAATGATACATACCATCAGGAGTGTACATTCCCCCAAAGCCACCCAAGATGAGTAGTCACTCATAGAAGACGAGACAGTATAAATATAATTTATTAGAGAATGGTAATACACTTCAATATTTCACCAAGGAAATCAAATGGACAATAACCAACAGTTGAGCTTCCAACGCTACTCATTTTTTTTAAATAACAGAGTTAATAGACTATACCGGGGTAGGCAACCTTGGCTCTTTTATGACTTGTGGTCTTCAACTCCCAGAATTCCTGAGCCAGCAGGAGTTCTGGGAGTTGAAGTCCACGAGTCATAAAAGAGCCAAGATTGCCTACCCCTGGACTATACCAACTCAATGCAAATATGCAAAAAGAAGTTGAGGTAGTAACAGACATTATCTTCTAAGCTCAAAAATGCACAGGAATGTTGACTACAGCCGTGAAATAAAGAGAACATCTGCTGCTTGGGAGAAGACTTTGACAGATCTAGATAAAATAAGATGAGAAGGAATGAGTCACTGGAGAGAGACTCTCTGATGCTTTGGAAATTCAAAGGCCACCAAAAAGAAGGCAATGGAAGATAAAGAAACTAGATAACTAATGATACAAATATGAGTTCTCAAACATTCAGAAAAGCAACTTTTGATAGTTGTCATTGGCAAGATAATGCCATGAAGAGTCAAAGCAACTGAATGACTGAACAAAGACAACAACCAAGATAGCAACAGACAGAATAGCAACAAGAGTGAAGACATCTCCTGTTCCTTGCATGTAGCAAAAAGGTGCTTTAACAATGCCTGTACATTGTAATCTGTTTTGGTCACAACATGAAGAGGCTTTAATAAAAAGTCTGCTTAAGATACTGAGCATTATTAATGTTTTACTAGCTGAGAAATTTGCTTCCATTGGTAACTTGTCTTTTCTAAATTTTCATAGTGATCTGCTGTTTTGCATCTGGTTTTTTATTTATGTATTTTTCTAAGGTGACTTGAAGGGTACAAGAAGGCCAGTTTAACTTTTTGTTCATCATGATTAATTGAGCCATTTAGAAGTTGTTTGAAACTTAGATTGCATTGTTTATCATTTACAGTTATGTGGCTTAAGGTAATGATTCTATTATTTTAACTGGCAAACAATATCTCATGTCATCCAGAATTTTTGTTGTTGTTTTTGTTGTTAACTTGATATCACATTACAAACTTCTGACCAATAAATCAAAGGCAAGATAAATGTGTAGAGCTTAAATAGAAATGAGAACTCTTAAAGTGACATATGGGTATATTAGCTCTGTTGCAAGTAGTAAGCAAAATAAATGTAATTCAGAAGTAATGTGCCATCTGTTATGGTTGAGATGCTTACAAACTCCATTTGTTTCAGCTGTGGATCTTTTTTCTTTAAGAAAAGAGAATGCAACCCATTGTGCCAGAATTTCAGTACTTACTAATTCCTTTTCAGTTCACAGGATAAAAACTATTTTGCCCATAATCTGTTAGATATTTATTGAAGCTGTATACTTTTTTTTTTAAAGGGGGGCTCTTTTTAAATCTAATATTGATTATGTTCTCTCTCTTTGTCCTCAAATTTCAACAGAATGCAGAAACCAGTTAGGTGTGAGATTAAAGTGTGGAGATGGTTATTACCGTTAACTTTATCACTGAAATACTTGTATTGTTGGATTTAAAATTTTATGACTATGGAAAGCTGGAAGAGCAATTTTTCCTTTGAGGTTTCTTGAAGCTTCTGACAAATGTTTGCATTAGTCTTTTGTATTTAGTATTTACCTGCATGATTCTCTAGTGTGGAGTCTCAGAAAAATAGATATAATCTTACAAGGAGTTAAAACTACTTTATAGAAAATCAGGATATATTAAATGTTGCAAAGGTTTATCCCTGAAGCTGGAGGAAGAAAGCTAAGAGAAAGAATTTAGGTAAAAGAGTGGGGTTTTATATGTCATATGCCATACATATATAGATGTAGTGCTTCATGCTGGAGAAGCATTTGTGCCAATACCATAAAATTTATATAGTATTGAATATGAAGCAGTGTTAAAAGGTCAAGTTGTGGAAGAAAAAGTATTTCTGGATTCTGGGCCATTCTGTGAAGAAACAGGTCTCGTTTTCAGAAGCCATTTTGTTTTCTAGACAGAAAACCAAATGCCACAAGTATTATCATTTCATGAAAGAACAATCTTCATTTCTTCCACTTTCAATGTACCAGTATTCTTTTTTTGGAAAAGAAATAATTGTCTTGAACAAATCAAAATGCTGTAGAAACTGCAAAAAGCAAAATGTACCAAAGACTCAGTATTATCTAATGTTATATTTGCTGCATACTTGCTTGTGTGGTATGTAGTTGTGGTGTATTGAAAAAGCCAATGTGGTCTAGTTGTTAAGATGCAGAACTATGAGTTGGGACATCCAGGTTCAAATTCACTGTAGCTATGAACTTTATTGAGCACCTTTGGATCAATTGCTTCCTGTCAGGACAACCTACATCACAGAGTTGTTATTGTATGGAAAATTACAGGAAGGAGTGCCATGTATAGGAAACTATATGCACATTTATTTCTCCATTGGCAGCATCAAATAGAAATATTCTGATCCAAGAATATAAATGTATATTATTGGGTCCTGCACAAAAGAACGTATCATGCTTCTCATTTCAACTATACACTCACGCTATCTCTCAAACACAGGTGCTATGAAAATTAGCAATTTACTCAAGGTTGGGAAAAAAATAGCAGACAAGAGATTCATAACAAAACAGGGCCTCTGAAATAAGTTTTCCTGGGTGATTTTCCTTTTAACAAGAATGCACAGAAGAATAGTCAAATCCAGTCCAGAATTTTGAGACCCTGGTCATAATTGTCAGTCGGTCCAGAGGTCAGAATTTCATGAGCAAAATCTAGCCAATCTCAAGAGCCAGAAATCAGATATGAGGGACCATAGGTCAGGGCTGCTTCTTAAATCAGGCTGTAGCCAACTGCCTTTAATCAAAGTAATTACTCCTTTGTTTGGCAAGGAGTCTCATAGAACATCTTTGCTCTATTCTTTGCTGTCACTGGGTGTGGGGGTTGGGAGGCATTACATCATCATCATCATCAACAACAACAACATCTGACTATTCCAGCTATTCAGGTAATGCCTATATTGTATGAGCTTCGGTTGATTCATGGCTTAGTATCTCCTGAAGCTGACATTCTGCAAGTTCTGCTGACCTTACCATGACTATCCCAGCACTTCTACATTCCTCTCTACTAATGGGATTCTAACTGACCTGATTACAGATATGAACATTATGTACCCTCAATAATGCCATTTATTGCACCCATACATTGCCTCCCTTCACACCAAAGGAAAAGCAACAGCCTGGTTTTGTGTTATCTGTCTCCTTTCTCTCTCCAGGGTCATCAGGTGGCTTGGTTCACCTTCTTTGTATTTCTGTGTCTTTCCTCATGTTTATGCCATGTACCAAGCCATCATACTTGACAATATTCCAAAAAGAAATCAAGAGAAAAGTTACCAAGCTGCTGTTGATTTCTACATAGCTAATAATTAATCTCAACTAGAGAGCTAACCAAGAATATTGTAGATGGCATTAATGATGTCCTCGTGGTTAAAGAAATTGATGTTGATTCCCTTAGCGAATTGGGATGACCTTTTGCTTATTGGTTTCCTTTCATTTTTCATAGTTAATTTCAGGAGATTCTGGGCATATGACGCTATTAATTCTACAGCATTGTAGAATAATACTTCTTAGATTTGCTGTACATTTAGCAATTGATGCATACTGATACGTTACAGAGTGAAAGAAGAGATAATTTGAAAAAAGCATTGGTAGAACCTTTCTTTCAAGGATATCCAAGTAAGATAATTACAGTGGACTACAAGCACCTAGGTTGATTTTCCTTCCACTTGCTATGTACTTTTTGGGGTGCGTGGTGTTCTTAGTCCATCTTATAAGAACGTTTCTGAATAAATCATGGCCATAGGTATCCTCAGCCACCCACAATCACCAATACCTAAGGAGGGAGAGATACAAACTAGAAAATGGCATATGTGACATCATGATCCAAACCCCACTCCTTTTATATGGATGTTGACATCAGATATATGCAAAGGGAAGAGACTTACATTGTGCCACCACATCTATCATCCTTGCACATTTTCACATCTCCCTACACCCAAGTGCCCAAGAACAACGACATCAGAACAGTCAAACATGTATTGTAATGTTACAACACAAATGCCACAAATGATAATTATATCCATTTCCTGGATTGCCTTAGGAAATGCATTGGGTGATGTCCAAGCAAAAATGTGTCTGTTGTAGCTGAAGTCTGCTAAATGCAATTTTGTAAAATCAGGATTTTATTGTATTACCTTTGCAACAGGACATTAGATGGTCTGATTTTGGATTTCCTGGAAGAAATGGAAAGGAAAGCACTCTGTGGATTGGTTCTACTGGAGCAAACACACCCTGTCATTTGGATTCCTATGGCTGCAACTTGGTGTTGCAGGTGCAAGGCAGGTAAGAAGGAATAAACAATTGCCCTATTTACCACCCTGATAGAGGGATTCCTGAATGTTTTTATTTTAAAACTGCTCTAATTTTCAGAGGTTTTTCATGGTGCAAACTGCCTAGGTTCATTATTAAGAAAGATAAACATTTTTAAATGAGAAAATTGATATCAGTGTTAATTAGCATTTAGGCTTATATTGCACCCCATAGCCCTTTATAGCACTCTCTGGGCAGTTTACAATGTAGAAGCATTATTTGCATATAGCCCCCAAACAATCTGACTCCTCATTTTACAATCTAACAAACTTTCTTTTTTCATTGGGATCATTCCTTTTCCTTGACTTCCCTTTTTCTCAGGGGTTAGACAACCTCAGGCTCAGAAGCCCATCCAGATATTGCTGCTGACTTGTCATTTATAAACCGAGAAAGAGAAATGTATTAAACACATGGGTAGGAATCCTATTTTGAGCATTTATTTTAAATTACATTCAGTTTTTACCTCAATCATGCCACTTTTTTGGGGGGACTGTTGCCCCCAGCAGAATTGTGAAGATTGATGTGGATATTGGCAATATGTAGCACTGGTTAATCCGGATAATTTCCAGTTCACCAACAGGAACTTGGAAGCTTGTATCCTTTTATTATTTTATTTTTAGGGCAGACATTCTAATTTTACATTATTCAGATTTCCCTTCTTCTGAGCATTTTCCGCTTTGATTTTTTAAAAAGGGATGACCAGAAATGTAATGCAGCATTCCATAGTAATAGTAGAAATTACATTTCAAATAGTTTGGAAATTGCCTTTTTCTTTACTGATGTGCACAGACTTTCAACTGAAATTTCTACTCATAACTTAAGATTTCTTTCTTAGTGCATTGCCAATTGACACTCTGCCAGTGATCTGTGAAGTTGAGATTCCTTTCAAAGTGTACAACTTTACTTTTAATGCGTTGGATGTTGTTTGCCGTTTAATTGCCCATTCCCCCAAACCTTTTGGCTTTAATAAATATTTGGGAACATCCCTCCCTTGCGTCTTCTCTTATAAATTTGCTCTATGTTATGATTTATAAAACTCTTATGTGCATATTTGGCTTTTGCTCGTAAGTTAAAAACGCAGCATTATGGAATATATACCCACAAACCATTTATAAAGCATGTGTTCTGTCACATTAAAATGTGGGAAGAAGGTTTGTAGGTTTGAATGCAGTGAATCCACAGTGAGGAGGAAAGGATTTATTGAGCAAAGTAAATCAAAAGAGTAGCTTCAGTTGCAAAGTATAATATAGAGAGGAAATATTTACAGACAAAGCAATGTTGAATAGAGGACTATAAATATAGGACAGATTCTCACAGCCCTTTTACTTCCAGAAGTGCTTCATCCTTGTCAGAAGACATTCCATAACTAACACATAGCAACATTCAGAGGCTCAGGTGCTGCTTAAGCTAACCCATGGGAAGGTTACTCAGCTTATATAGCATGCCCCTGCACTTGTTCATACTTCTAATTTAGGACATATATTGTTTCTGCTTCTTGAGCAGTAGTTATTGAATTCTTGCGTGAAACAGTGCTAGGTTATCTGCAAATAATTGGCCTTGGAGTTAAAAGAAAGTGAACAGTTTTAAGCTAAGCTATGTAATGGAACAGTTAATCATGGGGAGCAACTGGAGGGATACAAAGGCTTGTTTTGAGAAATCTAAGCTATTCTATGCATAGGCATACCAAAACAAGATCTTTTTGTACTGGAAAGCACAGAGAAGGACTACATCACTCAAACTTCCTTGTCCATAGAATCCTTTTCTGCTATAGCACTTCAGCTTGAAAATAGGGTTGTAACCAGTTCCTCAAGATCTCCAAAAACAGTTGGATGTTTTACTTGAGTAGGTTTACCTCGGTTGGAGCCTCACTAGATGTAAAAGAACTTGTTTTCAGCTAAGCATGGATAGGGATGTAGGAAGTTGATCATTACAAGGTTAGATCTTGGTGTAGCATGCTATGTGAACACATCTATTGTGATTTTTGCCGTAAAGCATGGATATTGTAATGGAATGTGTGGATGACCTTGGGGAAAGAGAGGAAGAGGTGCTGCCTAGGAAACAATCAGACAAAGGAGGCAGGAGCCCCCAAGAGCTTAACGGTCAGAGGAAAAAAATTAGGAAGGATCTACCCTAATAGATCAAGCAGTTAAAAGTGAGGGCGGGAAGTTCATACTTTCAGACTTGCAAGATTCTGTTAATTTAGCCTTACAATAAAGTACAATTAGCTCATCTATCGTATATGCCGCCGTATTAGGCGACCCGGCGTATAAGACGACCCCCGTCTTTATAGCCGGGCCGCATTCCTAGAACGTCGTCTTATACGCCGGAAACTACCAGTATTTCCGGCGTATAAGATGACTCGGCGTATAAGACGACCCCCGTCTTTGGTGCCGATTTTAGCGCTCGCGGAAGTCGTCTTATACGCCGGCATTTACGGTAATTGTCTTTCCTGTCTGGTTTGCCTGGGAGGGCTAACAGATATGCAATCTATGGCTTATCATGATGTGTGAACTTAGGCAGAATCTTGTCTATTTGCACTTGTACCATATATAACTTCAAGATGCAAGTTTCCATTATCTTTTTCCAGGAAAAGGTGGCATCTGTACCCACCAGAAGACTCCAGGCTACTTTATCCTACCAGAATTCCCTATGAAGAATCCAGTGTATTCAGCAAAGTCAGTGTGCTTAATCCAAATCTGAGGCAACATCCACTGTTCAAAAAAGCCCAAGCCCATGTGGTTACACTTGATCCTGGCCAGGTATTTTCTCTGCTCTTGCTGTTGTTTCACTAAATATGAAATTGAACGAATGAACTGAATGTGAATGGGTTTGAGCCCCAACATCTAATTTAATTTATTTGTTACATTGTTATACATTGAGACTCAGTTTGGTATAGTGCAGGGGTAAGCAACCTTTGCTCTTTTATGACTCGTGAACTTCAACTCCCAGAATTCCTGAGCCAACATGGCTAGCTCAGGAATTCTGGAAGTTGATGTCCACATATCATAAAAGAGCCAAGGTTGCCTACCTTTGGTATAGTGTTTAGAATAGAATAGAGCTGGGACTTCTGGTTTTGTATGGTAACGACCAGTCGCAGGCTTGTGGATTCTCCGCACCCCCGCAGCTAATTTTGCCCTGCCAGGGGACCCTAAATGGGTCTAAGTCGCCCTGGAGAGGCGACAAAGAAAGAAGGGTGCTCCGACGATTCTGGAATGGCAGTGGCCATTCCGTTCGACTTGGGGAAAGCCTTCTAACCCAACAGGAGAAAAGCTGGCCATATTGCATTGACCAGCCCAAACTACTTACAACTGAAGTCTAAAAGCACTAATCAGCACAACTGTGAACAGCGTGCTTGAAACTGGGTGAGGAATTTGATCTTCTCTTTTCTCTTTTATATTTAATGTCCTGGAAAAGATCCCCAAGAAGAAAAATACCTCCAAAAGGGAAGGAGGTGGATTTCCGCCCCACCCTTATACTAATGGAAGTGGCAAATTAATCTTTTTATGGAGGATCAAAATATATGGAAGTGAAATAAATATAAAACCTGAAACTTAAAGCTTATATCTGGATATATCTAAAATTGTTTTAATGGTTAAGACTTTCATTTAAAAGATAATTGTTCATTTTGGAAATTGAAAAACAAATTGTTCCTGACACCCAGTGGCAGATGAAGACTATGACAGCTATGACTTTAATATAAGACTTGGCAAAATCTGGGAAAAGCTAATCTGTGTCTGTGACCTTCAAAGCTTTAACAACAAAGAACAGCTGTGACAAAAAAAGATAATAATCTGGGCTGTAGACAAAGAGAGAATTATAAATTTCAGAAAAAAATCTTTTTTGAACTATTTGGATTACAAATATCTATCTAATTGGGATTCTAAAGCTATTTACAGAGAAAAGAAAGGAAGAGGAAAACTCAAATTCTTGGCTATCATGGATCAGAGACATGTAGAAAGAATATATCAAGAAAACATAAATACATCACAGGAGGAGATATATAGTATACTGCAACTAAATCAAAGAACAATGACTTTAAACCACAAAGAAATCCAAAACAACTTTGAAAATATAAAACAATCTATTTCCAAGTTAACTCTACAACAAAAAAATTCCCAGAAAACAACAACAGAGAAGGAGCAGATAAAACAGATAAATGGATGTAGAATTGAGAATAGAGACTTAAAGATGGAACTTAACCAAACAAGGAAACATGATTTAATCCTAGTGAGAAAAAATTCACAAGAATTGGAAAAAACAACTTATCCCTTAAGACTATAAAATAAATCTGAGGATAAGAAAACAGATCAGATAAAATGGACTGTAGAGATTTCAGGAACATTGGAGAGAAAGGAAATGATAAGAGAAGTGAAGAAAAAGAAAAAGATTTTCAACAAACATGGAAAGACAGAAGTTCCATACAAAGAGACTTCTCCTGATTTACTTTTTATATCTACAGCAACATTTATGAACATACGGAAAAACTTTTTGATTCATCAAAATACATTGATTAAGAAAGATATTGGGCAAAAGAAAAAGACTAAAGTGGAAACTAAGAAAATAGATGATGGGACTTACCAGAGAGAATACTTAAAAAAGAAACATTTGTTTGAATATGGTTAAAGAAATAGAAAAGTTTTGGAATATATATCTCACTCTAAGAGGGATGAATTCTCTAAATATAATATAGTATGCTTTTTCCCTTTTTTATTCTCTTTCTTGATATGAGTAATATAAAAAAGTTGAAATGGAAATGTTTTAGATTTTTAAATGTGATTGAATTTAAGAAAATTATAATGGATAAAAATGTTTTGAATAAGAGTTAAAGGACTAGATGACTAGATGTATTAAATGGAATGTTTAAAGATTAAACATTTAATTATGGTTAAAAAGAATAAGAAATTTAGGAAATAAATACATATTAGCTTAGGAGGGATATATATTTTAAATAGTATGTTATTTTTTATGCTTCTTTACTCTTGCTTTTCTTTCTTTTTTTCTACTGTTTTTTCTATTTCTTAAGAAATGTAAAAGTGTGAGATGGTTCATATAGAAAAATAGAGTTGAGTTCTTAAATGTAATTGATTTTTGAGAAAATCTTAACCAGTAAGAATATCTAGAATTTGGTGGGAGAAACAAATTAAAATAAGGACTGTAACAGGATCTATGATAAGGCAACCAAAATGATTGGATAGAAAAGAAATATTATATTGATGTGATTATTATTTTTAGGACGGTTGGGAAAAAATATACTTAATTGTTATCTATCAAAACAATAAGAATTGTATTAACTCAATATTTGCAAAAGAGGATATTTTGGGAAAAGAGGAAATCAACTAAAACTATTATGTGGATTATGGATTATAGAAATCAATTGTTAGTGATTGTTTTACAAAAGTAACCCAGACAACACACTGTTCACCAATTATTGTGATTTATGCTTTTTAAAAAATCAATAAAATATATTACAAAAAAAATAGAATAGAATAGAGCTGGAAGGGACCCTGGAGGTTTTCTAGTCCAGTCCCCCGCTCAAGCAGGAGAACCTATACCATCTCAGACAAGTGACTGTCTAGTCTCTTCTTAAAAATCTCCAGTGATGTAGCGCCCATGATTTCTGGAGGCAAGCTGCTCCATGGGTTTAAAGTTACCAGGCTAGATGGCGAGTTCTAGTCCTGCCTTAGGAATGAAAGCAACTGAGTGTCTGTGGGCTACTCTCTTCTCTCAGCCCAACTTTCCTCACAGGGTTGTTGTTGTGAGGAAAATAGGAGGAGGAAGGAGTATTAGGTTTGTTTACCACCTTCAGTTTATAAAAAAAAATATATGAAAAACAAAGGTCTGTGTATTCCTTATATATATCTTTAATTAACTATAACTATAGTTACTTTAGTTATAGTTATTATAGTAATGGGGTGGGCTGGGGGCGAATCAAATCTGGTCAGTTTGCATCATTTCATCTCTTCCAAGTGAAAATAGTACTTTATGAAAGAAATGAAAGAAGGTCATGGGTATGTTTCTTGGTATGCAAGGAACTTTGAAGGTTCTTAAGCTTCTTAGGATGGAGTAGAAGCTATCTCTGCTTTGACAGTTAGTAATTTGCCCAGTTTGGACTTCAGATATGGTTATGTGGAACCAGCCAAAAACTTTTACATTTTCATCATGATGGATAATTCCATAATGGAAACGCTTGCCCAACAGCCATCTCACTTCTATTTACAGCATGCATTAGCATTCGAATGGAAGCTTTCAAAGTAGTTTTAACAAAGTCATGTGAAAGTTGATTAATCATACTTTACTGGATGAGAGGGCTACAATAAATGAGCAGCGGCCTTGTGAAAGATTTTTCTATTTGCCAGAATTCTAGGATCTCAGCCCTATCAGCATGATGCCTTCCAAATTAATTACTCCTTTGTTCTAAGTATAGCTTTCATTACATAATGAGCTACTTTTCTTAGATTTGGGTTGTCCTTTAGTCTCTGATGTCACTCAGTCCCTGGAAAGTGTCCTTTAGGGCAATATGACCCTTACACCAAAGAAGGTTCTTATCCTGCTATATGTACCAACCTCTATTCACTTTTGGAATTTTCTTGGATGTATTCCAGCGTAGTCATGTATAGAATTGCATTGATGTCCTTCCAAACACTTGTCATTGCATTATATTACTTTCTGTATGGCATGAAAAATGGCTATGATATGCAAAACATTCCACATTAAACCATTTCAAATTTGCAGCACCCCATTTTTCAGCTTGAAGTCCTTTCTTCTGAGTGTAAAACAGCTATGTCAATTGCAAAATGGGTTGTTTTGTATATTCTTCTAGTGTGTTAAACTTGAAACAGCATTTTGCTTTTGAAACACAGCTGTTCCAAATTCAGAATATTTCCAAAATGCTTCTAATGGCCTGTCTCAAACTCATGACTATCACTTCACACTCAAAACAGGGTGTTTAGAATTTGAAGCAGTTTAGATTTGAAATGTTTTGCACACGCCGATAAATATCTTACTGATCCCAAAAACCGGAATAAACTGACTTCTGATTTTTTTCTTTTGTTCACGTTTCAATTTGTGGCTTTTTCTTATGTTTCTGTTTTCTTAATGATAGCAAGATATTGTCTTGCATTATGATTGGAAATTCAGTGCAGATTGTCTATTTTAGTTGATTGCAAATGGTAATGAAGCTGGAGTATCACAATTTTTAATTAAACTTAAACTAATTGTAATTCAAATGTTGTTCAGAATAGAAGACTTATAGCAGGGCTCCCAAAATTCTGTGACACAGGAAAAGCTGAAGACTGAAGAATGCTAAAGTTCTCTAAGGATGTCATTTCAGAACTACAAGTTTGGATACAATTCAACATAAGAAAAGATTAGGTCAGAACTGTCTAGTGTTGAAAGAGATGTGATGAACCAAGATGAAAAAATCCTCCAGTAGTCATTCTTTTAGTTAGGTATTGTTCAAAAACAATGCAAAATATTATGCCTGCAAATACAGTTACTTGAAAGTTTCTTGTCGGCATTACATTACTTGGTAAACTTACACTATTCTCTGTTCATGTTTGGCCATGAACTATAATGCCATGGATTAAAATATTGCAACAATGCAAGACTGGAAAACTAAAATAAAGGTGTGTTTTGATATTCAGCATAGCAGTAGTTGGGCACTAGGTGTGATTATTAAAAGAAACTTAATGTGCCTAATGCCATCTTCTGGCCATTGTGTCTCATTTCACTACTTATCCTGATCTTGGTAGTGCTGAGG